TAGTACACACCGATAAGAATAAAAAAAACTTTATGGATCGAAAACTGAATTGTTTTTCGAGAGATATAATTTTTTACATTTAATGTCATAACTGACTATTTAATATCATAACTTATTGTATTCTATGTGTCGCATGTGATATAAAGATATTTACTTCAGTGTTTACAAATTAAGTGTTTACAAATTGATATTTTCTGAATGTTCCAGTCAATTTTCATACATATTTTATAAAGATTTCAGTAAGAATCAGTTGACAACCGGCGATTGTAATTGAATAGGCAATATAAAAAATTACCTTATTGGATCTGTAATTTTCCCAAATAGAGTATCAGGTGTTATTTATGTACATACTCAATTTCTTTCTTTTTACATCGCATGGGACATATTGTAGGAGCCAACATACTAACACAAAAAATAAAATTGTTTATATCTCAGAAAAGATTCAGATTTATGTTTACTAAAGCTTTTTCCTCAGTATGCTATCACCATGTAAATGCTGAATGCATTTTTGTGAACACTTTGTATAGAACGTATTATTATTTTGTATTATGAAATTCGACGAAGATGGATCACCGTTTCGTCGAACCTTTTCCAAAGGCACGTGAAGGTGAACTTGACGCGACCGGTTGTCCGGTAGTAATCTGTGTATATAGCTGTAGTAATTGTTATGTAGCTAGATTGCTGGTATTGTATACACATTCTCTCCGTACTCGAATAATCTGTAATTGCTAGTATACATTGTGCAGACGTATCAAAATGTATGCGAATGCGCGCGTATGCTTGTGTATATGTATATGCGTGTACATGTGTGCATGCGTATGTGTCCCTTTCTGAAGGTTTTTTGTATATGTCTGCAGACGAAAGAAAGGATCGTTAAATGTGTGCTTAAGTATGCCTGAATCATTGCAGAGAATAGTGAGTACTTCCAACGTCCGTGAAGCCAATTTCAGAAATTAGTTTGAGCGTTTCAGTTCTCATGGCTAAAAGATAAGGAGTATGAAGTCGATAAAATCGCATGCACAAACGCTTCTTCAGAGCTTGCTCTGAAGCAATTTGCCGATTTGATTTATCGTACTGCTCTTGAACACGCTCGCGAGCGACTTTTCCCCGAGAATTTCCCATCGGATTCTGCTCAGGATCAAGTCCGCTAATTACGCTAAACCGGGAAGAGTGTAGAAACGGTGATAATCGCCAATGTTCCGGCAGCAAATTCGTTTATCCGAACGTGAATCGCAGGTTTGATAATAAGCAGCCATTGCGCTGTGCGTTTTTCTTATAAATAGATCAATACGTTCCTTCCATTGCGTTTCCTCTTCGTTTTGTACGTACGTTTTGTACGTACATTTCTCCTTCTTCTAGATCATATCCGAGTGCCGTTCGATACTACTTCGATTTTATATGACCACGACCGTACTCGAACAAGTTCCGTCACGGCGACTTCCGGATTAACTTTCAACCGCTAAGAAATCGGATTCTCATGTCACATATTTTAAAGTAACAGAAAGATTGCTCAATACGCATACTTGCTTTATTCTGAAACAGGATTTTCAAAGATTTATAAGAAATTTCAGAGGTAATTGTAATTTGACAAAGATATATTTGAATACTTGGAAAAGCTTGCAATTATTTAAAAAAAATATGTGAAAAATGTAGAATATATAATTTTTCAATTAATTTTTAATTATACTTATATATTTATTAATATATATATACATATACATATATTTTTTTATCCATAGTTTGTAATACATTTTTATTTGTTATGAGAATAGATAATATAAATAATTGGAATATAATTAGAATTGTCAATTCAATAATTGATAAATATATAATATAGTGTCATTTATTATCAAAATAAAAACTGAATCTACGTAGTAGTCATATTCATCTGCACAGTGGTTGCGAGTTAAAACGCAAGTCGATCTACAAGCTTTTCTGCGGATGCGCGTGAGAGTTATTTTTTCATTCAACATACCGTTCGCATACAACTTTTTTATTTATAACATACACATGCGATGTAATTTCTCCGTGGCGATGTCACGTTCGCCGATTGACAATTAATTAATTTATTAAACGAAGCTTCTCGCGAAGGAACGACTCTGGTATGCGTGAGTATCTCTCCCGAGTGGTTCCTCATTTCTTTTACTTTTTTTGTATATCAAGACAAAAAGAGTAGATCCGATAGATGTGAAAAGTGCAGTCTACTCATTCGCTAAGTCTCTTCCTTCGCAAGAAGCCACGATCACAGATCGTTCGCTTCATTCGCTCGGCAGATATTAATGTTGTGATATTTTATGATATAGTGTAATGATAAATGCCGTTATTATTATCTATATTATTATGATCGAGATGTGTATTGTAAGCAAAAAATACTTTTTATCTTTATTTATAGAAGGCAGCCGCCACTCAAGCGAGTCGCGTGCGAAGCCATCTTTTTTTTGATTCGCAATTGTTGACATTTCGCGTCTACTTAATCTTTACTTTGTGAAACGAATACGAAACTTCCATGTGCTGATAATAACATTCTGAAAACTACTCTTGTATCATTTATTGATGAATCCTCTCCACAACGCTATGTGAATTAGAAAAGAACAATGCTTGCATATTATTTGTTTCAGGCTCATAGTGAAAATTTTATTAATATTGAAATATTAATACAATTGTATGATATATTTTTAATATAATTAGTAAAAATTTTTTGATGTGGAGTTACTCAATACCCATACAGCACCGAAAGTTTTCAGAAATATCTCAAAATATTTCAACTGAAAAATGAAACATTTGATAAAAATTGTGAAATATATATCTACAACATTTCTGAAACAGTTCTGAAATAGAAAAAGGTGCGCGCACACACACACACACACACACGCGCGCGCGCGCGCGCGCGCACACGCACATAAACATAAACTCCGTATATTCGTATATGTCGCAACCGTATATTCCATCCTACGTTTCCTTTAAAAATATCGATATCGATGGAAGAGTCAAACATCAAGCGTACAGCGTGAACTTACTATTCGCTAAAAACAGCTGGTGAATCAAAATTGACAAATAGCTCATGATGCTCAACGCTTGATACTGCCATATGAAAACACCTTGGATGCATTCAGGAAGAACGTTGTCAACAGTCATGATTGACACGTAGCGCTGACCAGTGCTAATAGAGCAATCCCCGAACGCCTTCCATTGCAGTTACAATAACAGGGCGCATTTGACGCGTTCTTTAAATACTCTTGTTCGCCTCAATTTAATTAGCAGCTTTCTCTGATTGATCTATGACTCGTATATACATATATGTATTATATACAGGGTGTCTGATAATTCTTTTTATGAAGTTCGTGGACATGTAAAGCAGATTAAACTGAGATAGGATCCTCTACCATTTTACAATTTTTGTAATAATTAACGAAATATTAGTTTCTAAAGATTACCGAATATCACGTCCGCCGTCCCTACTACTACGCTAAGCGTATGCCTATTATTAGCGGTGCGCGGATCGCGAAGAGTAGGAATGGCCTGGCAAGCGTGCCGTTCGAAGTTCGGAGGCCCTGATAATGAAAATCGTTGCTAAAGTATAAATGTTATTGTATAATAATAAATAAGATAACCGGAATGAATGTCGAGTATCCATTTCGACGATGCTTGAGTTCAACTACGTAAAGACGAGTTCTGGGTACAATCTATCGCATGCTCACTTTTCGCACACGCTGGCTGTGTTTGTTTGTACAATATTTTAGAAACAATTGTATTTTCAATTATATTTTTTTAATTGCAATACTGATATACTTTGCGTTTTATTATCGGTTTCTCGAGACATCTCGTATTAGGAGTATAACTTTTTCACTTTCCTCTACTATTAAAAAATTACACCTGCAGTTTCCACATAATATCATTATTCATATACAAAAGTTTTTATTAAAGTAGAACAAGTTACATCAAAATGGCGTTAAACTGAACTGTGATCGATAAAAAAAATGACTTTTAATAAACATATATTTTGGAGCCATTTTAATTATGATGATTTTTTTTTATTCTGTAATGTTTTAAATATGTTTTTCAATTATTGCATATGATAGGTTTTAAAAATATTTCTGTTAAAACAGGCTTTAGCATAATTTGTACTTTCTCGGCCGAGAGAAAGTTTAATTAGGCTCCGCTACTCTTCTTATCTCATGACCCCGCGACAAAATGTCGTAATCATCGCTCGACGCTTAGGGCCGCATAACGTAGATCCATCCACTTTGGACACTCACACTGCAAACAACATTTTATCTTCTTTTTTTATTCATTACAAATACATTACTAAGATATAATAAAATAACGCGCTCAATCTTATGAGCGTTGCTTTAGTTTATCTT